ATACAAACCTGGGGGGCACTTACAAAATTTAACTTTTAGTTTGAAATGTTCAAGACTCACAAAGACCTTTCAGAGTTCCTCTGTATCCCTCACCCAGCTCCCTCCAATGATAGTATTTTTTAAAAAATTATTATTGTGGTAAAATACATATAACATAAAATGTACCATCTTTACCATCTCTAAGCCCACAGCTCAGTGCATTAAGCAAGGGCATGGTGTAGGGTTTTCAGGTGGTGAAGGGTGAGGCCAGGCTGGGAATGCCTGAAAATGCTGGCCTGCACCATAGTGGGGAGCACCTTGTCCAAATTTGGAGCAGAGGAGGAAGAGGGAGAGGTGGGCCTGCAAGGTATCAGCATCACACACCAAAGATGAAGTTGCGCCCCTTACAGTGTGTTTGTCCATCCACTCACTGAAAGGCATTTAGGTGTCTTCATTTTTTGGCTATTATACATTAAGCCACTTTATGCATATGTGTATGGATTTTTGTGTGCACATTTGTTTTTATTTCCTCTAGGAGAGTATTCAGAATGCAGCCACTGGGTCATATGGTGTTTGATTTACTTTATAGGAAACACCAGCCAGTCTTCTAGAGCAGCTGCACCATTCTGCATTCCCCCCTGGCGGAGCATAACAGATCCAGTTGTTTCCAGCACTTGGTTTTTCCAGTAACTTCAATTTAAGCCACTCTAGCAGGTGTGTTGTGGTTTCTCATTGTGCCTTTAATTTGCGTTTTCTAATGGTCATGATGCCGAACATCTTCACAAGTGAATCCCAGCCATTCACACATCTTCACTGAAAAGTCTTTTCATATGTTTTGCCCATTTTTAAATTAGAGTGTTTTTCTCACTGTTGCATCTGGAGACGTCTTTATATACTTCATAGCCAAACCGTTTCTGACATTTGTGATTTTCAAATATCTTCTCCCTCTCTGTGCTTGTTTTTCCATCCTCTTGATGGGAGTTCCACAGAGTAACACTTTTTAATTTTGATGAAATCCAATTCATCAGGTTGTTCTTTTGTGGATTGTCTTTAGTGCTCTAAGAATGCCTTATCTGTCTAACCCTAGGTCGTGAAGATTTTTCTCTGTTTTCCTCTAGACATTTTATTGTGATTTTTTAAAGATTTATTTATTTCTTCATGAGAGACACAGACTGAGAGAGAGAGACAGAGACAGGCAGAGGGAGAAGCAGGCTCCATGCAGGGAGCCTGATGTGGGACTCGATCCTGGATCCCAGGATCATGACCTGAGCCAAAGGCAGGTGCCCAACTGCTGAGCCACCCAGAGGTCCCAGCTTTGTGGTTTCTATCCTATGATCTGTTTTGAGTTAGTATTTAATAAAATATGAGTTTTAGGTCAAGATTATTTTCCTCCTACAAATGGCTAATTATTCCAGTGTTACCTGTTGAAAAGTCCATCCTTCTACCATTGAATTGGTTTTGTATCTTTGTCAAAAACCATCTGGCCCTGGATGCCTGGGTGGTTCAGTGGTTGAGAATCTGCCTTTGGCTCAAGTGGTGATCCTGGATCCTGGGATGGAGTCCCGCATCGGGCTCCCTGCATGGAGCCTGCTTCTCCCTCTGCCTAGGTCTCTGCCTCTCTCTCTGTGCCTCTCACGAATAAATAAATAAAAGCTTTAAAAGAAAATAAAATCGTAAAAAAAAAATTATCTGGGGATGCCTGGGTGGCTCAGTGGTTGAGTGTCTGCCTTCGGCTCAGGGTACGATCCCAGGGTCCTGGGATTGAGTCCCACATCAGATTCCTTGCTGGGAGTCTGCTTCTCCCTCTGCATGTGTCTCTGCTTCTCTCTCTGTGTCTCTCATAAAAAAATAAATAAAATAAAAAAAAAAACATCTGGCCCTACTTGTGTGGCTTTATTTCTGTATTCTCTATTCTGTTACATTCTCTTCTCTGTTTGCTACATTTGATTCCCTATTTGTTACATTCTGTCCTCTATACTGTTACATTGGTCTACATGCCTTTCCTTCCCCCCCCCACGCCACACACTGTCTTAGTCTTTGTAGCTATACAGTAAGTCTTAAAGTCAAGTAGTGTTATTCCTGTAACTATCTTCCTTTTCAAGATTGCTGCGACTATTGTAGTTAACCTTTCTTTATAATTTTTTAGAATCAGCTTGTCTGAATCTACAAAGAATCCTGCTGGGATTTTGATGGAACTTTCTCTTTCATTGTAGATCAGGGTGAGAGAATAGACATTTTAGCTATGTTGAGTTTTCCAATCCATGAACATTGTGGATCTCTCTATTTGTATAGATCTTTTTTGGTTTCCTTCATTAGCATTTTGTGGTTTTCAGCACACTGTGTCTATATATTTTTTTGTTACACTTTGCCTATGCATTTTATTTTTTGGAGCAACTGTAAATGATATTGTGCTTTAAATTTGGTTTCCAGGTGTTTATTGCTATCAAATAGACATATGGTTGATTTTTTTGTGTTGACCTTGTATCTCATGACTTTACTAGACTCAAAACTCATTTATTGACTCCAAGGGTTTTTTGTTTGTTTTGTTTGTAGATTCCTTAGGATTTTTTACTTTTTAGAGTTTTCCTGAGATCCTGAATCCTAATCTTAATCTTTAACTTTTATGCCTTTCTTTCATTCTCTTTCTTCTTTCTTTCTTTCTTTCTTTCTTTCTTTCTTTCTTTCTTTCTTTCTTTCTTTCTTCTTTCCTTTTCTCTTCTTTTCTTTTTTAAAAGATTTCATTTATTTATTCATGAGAGACACACAGAGAGAGGCAGAGACATAGGCAGAGGGAGAAGGAGGCTTCCTGCAGGGAGCCCCACGTGGGGCTTGATCTCAGGATCCCAGGATCACGATCTGAGCTGAAGGCAGTTGCTCAACCACTGAGCCACCCAGGTGTCCCTCCTTAGGATTTTTTATACAATCACATCTTCCTGTGTGTAAAGTCCAGGAAAACTCAGCTCCCAGCTCACTGGGCTTCCTTGGAGCTGCTCTCAGTCTGTGGCCTTCATGACGGTTCTGTTTCTTCTCACCTTTCATGTTCTCAGTTGCTCCTGCTCCCCAGGGCTCTGTCCTCAACTGCTCTTCTCTACACCCTATAATCGACCTTAAGCTGATGTTATCTGGCTTTGCTCATTCCTGGTTTTGTTACCACTGTCATGGTTGGCAGCTTCTGGATCTGCACTCAGGCCCTGAACTCCAGGCCTGCTCATCTGACTGTACTTGGGATGTTTTGAGGTCCTATGGATTCTGTGAATGAGATCTGTCCTCATCTCCCCAAACTTGTCTTTCCTCCTGTGACAGGCAGAAGTAGAAAATGACCCTCAGTGACCCTTGCCCTTATATAACCTCCTTGTGAGTGTAGATGGAGCTGCAGTTAGGGTGAGTTATCACCTTTGTGGTTTTGTTCTGCGATATGGCAAAAGGGATGCTCACAGATGTGATCAAGGCTCCTAATTAGCTGAGTTCATCAAACAGGAGATTATGCTGGGTGGGCCTGCCCTGATCAGGGAGCTTTTATAAGGGAAGTCTAGATGCTGGAGACAGAAGTCAGAGATGCACCTCCTGCTGGCCTGAAAGGAACCAGAGAGCCAGGTTGTGAAGTGTATGGGGGTCACAGTGCAAGGAACCGTGGGAGGTCTCTAGTGGATGAGAGTGGCCTTGGGCACACAGCTCACAAGGAAATGGGGCCTCAATCCTGCAATCACAAGGAACACCTAGTGGGCTTGGAGGTTCCAGAAGGGAACCATGTGCGGCTGACCCTCATGCTGGCCTTGTGACAGCCTGAGGAGAGGACCCAGCTTTGCTGTGCCTGGACTCTAGAACTTAGGAAATGGAGGTAATAAATGTGTATTGTTTTAAGCCTCAGAGTTTGTGGTAGTTCGTTACACAGGAGTTGGAAACAAATATACCCTCTCTTAGCACTGAGTCTCCACTCGATTCCCCAGAGCCCCATCCTCATCCCTACGTGGCCTTTGTCTGATCCATACCCCTCAGTATCTATTTGCTCCACTGCTCTGCCTGCAAGTTTAGGCTTCCGGTGACCCCCACCCACTGAATGAACTTACAGAAATCCTAGACACTCCCCCACCTGCAATCACCTGCTGGCTCTTTAGCTTCCAGTGAAGGGATTGAGCTCCTGTGTTGGGCCTCAGCCCTCTCCCCTCTCCTGTCTGTGCCCCTTTGTGAGCAGGTATGCTGGCCAGGGTGTTCGCTGTGCACTTGGCATGGACTGAACACTCAGCCTTTACCTCAATGCTGCGAGGTATGAACTATTGACTCCTTTTTTTAAAATTTTTATTTATTTATGATAGTCACACAGAGAGAGAGAGAGAGAGGCAGAGACATAGGCAGAGGGAAAAGCAGGCTCCATGCACTGGGAGCCCAACGTGGGATTCGATCCCGGGTCTCCAGGATCGCGCCCTGGGCCAAAGGCAGGCGCTAAACCACTGCGCCACCCAGGGATCCCCTATTGACTCCTTTTTACAGATGAGGAAATCGAGACACCAGGAGGACACATTGCTTGCCAAGGGTCACGCAGCCTCTGGCGCTGACTACCAAGCCTATGTCCTCAGACACGCTCCCCCTGAGCCCTGCATGACTTTACCAAATTCTTTTTTTAAAGATTTATTTATTTATTTATTTGAGAGAGAGAGAGAGAGAGACACAGAGAGAGAGAGACAGAGAACACGTGCAAGGAGGGGGAGGGAGAGGGACAAGCAGACTCCACTCTGAGTGTGGAGCCTGATGCCAGGCTCCATCCCAGGACCCTGAGATCATGACCTAGCCAAAATCAAAAGTTGGATGCTTAACTGCACCACCCAGGTGCGCCCTCACTGAATTCATTATCTGAGGGAACCGTTTGCCCACCTCACGATCCTGTAGTGGGTCCTACATACCCTCCCCTGCAGGGGTGAGCAGGCCAGAGCAAGATACTCCAGGGAGGGGTGATAGGGTAGAGGCATAGGTGGGGCTTTCACTTGTTAGAAGGGAGCCAGAGAAAACTGCACCATGAGAAGGTGTCTTGTGCAGATGGTGTGTTTATTGCAGGATTTCACAATGCTTGGTTTGGACCAAAAAATGCAACAAAAATGGCAGAAGTGACCAAGGACTTGCAGGTGGTCAGGAGGCCTTGGTTTGAGGGGTCCCAGGGGGCTTGATTGAGCTTGAGGCTCCAATATGGGACTCACTTCCAGGTTGTGCTGGAGGAGGGGAATGCCAGCTTTCCATTAGGAGGTGATGGATGTGAGGTTGATGCTGTCCCTATCTGCTGTCATCTGTAGCCCGACACTGACCACCCAGCTGAGGAGACTGAAGGAAGAATACTCCAGAGGGTATGATGGCATTACAGCTGTAGGGCTACAGCAGGCAGACCAAGATGCATCCTGGAAATATGAAGTTGAGTGAATTACCTGAGCCTGTGGCCAGCATCTCAGACCTTGCACTGGCAGCAAACGGGGACACAGCAGCTGGACTGGGAGCAGCAGGGCTTACAGCAGCTAGACTGGCAGCAGCAGGGTTTGCAGCAGCTGGACTCGCAGCAGCAGGGTTTGCAACAGCAGGACTGGGAGCAGCAGGGTTTGCAGCAGCAGGACTGGGAGCAGCAGGGTTTGCAGCAGCAGGACTGGCAGCAGCAGGGCTTACAGCAGCTGGACTGGCAGCAGCAGGGTTTGCAGCAGCTGGACTGGCAGCAGCAGGGTTTGCAGCAGCTGGACTCACAGCAGCAGGGTTTGCAGCAGCAGGACTGGGAGCAGCAGGGTTTGCAGCAGCTGGACTGGCAGCAGGATGACCCACAGCCCCCCTTAGGGCCCCCACAGGACCCACAGCCCCCCTTGGAGCCCCCACAGGACCCACAGCCCCCCTTGGAGCCCCCGCAGGACCCACAGCTAGAGCAGGGACAGGCCGGCACACAGCAGCACACGGGCTTGCAGCAGCAGACAGGCACACAGCAGCTGGAGCCACAGCCCCCAGAGCAGCCACAGCAGGTCATGGTTCTGGTGGGTGGAGGGTGGAGCAGGTCAGAGGAGCAGGTGCAGAGGGGAGGGGTTCAGGTGTGGAGCCTCCGGGGCTGGGGGTCCTTATATACCTGCCCAGGTGTCACATGGTCACTTCCTGTTGCTATTTGTACTTTCTCCAGGGAAATTCTGAAGTTTTCCTTGTTTGTTTCAAATAACCACACATTTGTTTACATGCACTTTCTATGTTTATCCTTTTCATTGTTTTCATCAAATACTGGCAACATCCCAAGCTGCAGTGTTTCCACACTTAAGGGCTCGGCCGCGTAAGGAGAGATGTGTCAGGCAGGCTCCCATGGCGGCAGGGGAGGCTGGTCCTCTCAGGTCCTGTCTGGTCCCCCTGTGAGGACCATTGCCCCTTGTCCACTCATCTCTGACCCTGAGCTCTTGGTGTGGCCCCTGCTCTTCTCTTGCATCTCATCCCATTGAGCCGCTGCTCCCTCGAGCTGCCTTACCCCTTCTAGACATGAATGGAGGGGACACTGTCTGTCCACAGGTCCAGAGACCCAGGAGCTATGCGGGAGGGGCCTATACTCTCCACGGAGACACAGAGGCTTCCAGGTGTGTGTGGACTGGCCTTCCAGGAAGCCAGTGTGCAGAGAGGAGGGGTGGAGGTGGTGACTGGAAGGGGTGCACCTCCTGCACCTCTTATGACAGCTGACCCAGCCTCTGCCTGGTGAAGCCCCTCCAGCTGCCCATTGCCTTTCCAGCTTGTTTCTCCCCTGGTTGTGGCCATCAGCCACACAGGATAGCCGCCAAAGGCAGGGGATCCAGAGCCAGATGCCCTCAGCCGGACACCAGATCTGCTCCTTTCCAGGAGTGGGCCCTTGAGTACTTGTTCTCTCCTGCCTTGTTCTGCTCCTTTGTACACATGGATGGTCATGGTTCCAGCCCTGCGGGGAAAGTGAGGCTTGCCAAGAGCCCCAAGCGTGCGTGGACAGTGCATGTGGATCCCGCCTTCCCATCCTTGGGATCTCAGTATGCTTTTGGGGCTTGAGTTGGCTGGGTCATGCCTGACATTTACACACTCTGAGGTCCTGCCCAGGATGCTCCCCAGCTCACTGGGGTCAGGATGGACCCTCTGGAGGGTGAGAGAGAAGGGCACCCCAGGCAGAGAGCAGACCTTGAGCAAAGCAGGCAGCAAAGCCAGGTTTCTGGGGCTTCAGGTGCTGAGCTTTGGTCTCAAGGATTGGCCTGCAGCTGGTGGGACCATGGGAGGGTTGGTGCAGGGAGGGCAGTGGTGAGAGACAGGCAGGAGACCCGACCTTCAGGCAGGGTGTACAGTGCTCGTCCAAGTGTTGCAGGAGGCCTGATCTGGGTCCCGGCCATGAGCCATGAGCTGGGGCAGGTAGGGCAGATGCAGGTCTGGAAATGAGATCCCTGGGAAAAGGATCCATCACAGTGTCGTGTGAGTCCCTGCCACTGTTCTCATGAGCACACACACACCCAGCCCATACACTTGCCTACACACGTACATGCACTGCCTGACCTGGGGGATTGATAAGCTACAGGATGTGACACATTGAATTTTAAAAATTTATTTGGGGGGCACTTGGGTGGCTCAGTAGGTGAAGTGTCTGCCCTTGGCTGAGGTCATGCTGTTAGGGTCCTGGGCTTGGGCTCTGCATTGGGCTCCCTGCTGAGCGGGGAGTCTGCTTCTCTCTCTCCCTTTGCTGCTCCCTCCACCCCCCCATGCCCAGCTTGTGCTCTCTCTCTCTCTCTCTCTCTCTCTCTCTCAAATAAACAAAATTTTTCAAAAAGTAAAAATTTGTTTGGAGAAAATTGGGCCAGTTTTGTTTTGTATCACATGGCTCTGTAAGGTCCTAGCACAGGAAATCTGAGACAAGACCCCATCTGTGTGACAGAGAAATGTCCCACGTGCAGTGTAGACGTGCAGGGCGGAAGGGTTCTTGAATCCGGCTGCTTCTGCCATCTTCTTTTCCAGTTGAGGGGAGTGAGTCAGGAAAAAGTCACCTCTTGATTGTGGCCAGCACGAGGACAAGCCCACAGCACCAGACATCAGGGAGGTCTTCACCCCTGCCCAGGGGCGATCCCAGCTTGGCTTGTGCAGTTTGCAAGAGGATAGTCCCTCTGCACGTTTAGCTGCTCCTCTCCCCCCGCCCCCAGGCCAGGCAAGCATCCCTGGTCAAGACCACAGAGCGGCTCCCCAAGGACATTCCAGGGGCAGCTTGGAACACCCAAGCTCTGGTTGTGCACCTGCGGTTTTGTCTTTATTTTTATTTTTTTAAAGATTTATTTATTTATTCATGAGAGAGACAGACTGAGAAAGAGAGGCAGAGACACAGGCAGAGAGAGAAGCAGGCTCCCCGCAGGGAGCCCGCGCGGGACTCGATCCCCGATACCAGGATCAGGACCTGTGCCGAAGGCAGGCGCCCATCTGCTGAGCCACCCAGGCATCCCTGTGGTTTTTGTCTTTAAAGCACCACTGCCCACGGTGTGGAGGCACCTTGGTTCGCTTACCCCGAGGTGGCCCCGGGGGCTTTCCCAGGGGACGCAGCCTCAGCCATGGCCCCAGCCTGTCTCTGCTGCTATTCCGTGGAGAGTCGCCTGCCAGTTCCCCTCCTGCTGAAACAGGGTGCGTTTCAAGTCCAGACGTCCCCCACCCGTCAAACACGGTGGAGATGCCCCCTCATTCTCGTGGGTATGATGTCAACAGAAACAGCGTGGCAGGTGTTTCAGGGGCGCAGGTGGGGACTCCGGGGGCCCCCGTGTGAGGCGGCACGGAGGATGGGGTTTCGGCTGCTTTATCCCCTCGGAATTTGTTCTTGATAGACGTCTGCTCAGCCACAGTCATTTGTGCACGTTCGTATGAACAGTGTGGCTGCTGATCACGGGAGACCCCTGGCCCCTGGCCCTGGCTGTGGTCTGCCCACCACCCCAGCCAGTCCCCTGGGTAGGAGGGGGGCCCCCTGGTCCTGGTCTGCAACTCGCCTCCTCCAGGGCTCCCCTGGCAGCACCCTTCGGCCACGTGATCCACGGGCGTGGGCTCCTTCCCTCGCTCTCCCTCGGTCTCTCTGTCTCTGTCTCTCTCAGGAGGGACTCTACTTGTTGCCTGCTGTGTTCTATTCATTCACGTTTACGTTTCGTGTTCTTTATGTAAAGGAGATGCCGACCTAAGGTCTGCGGAGCGCTGGGCCTCCCTGCAAACCTTCGTCTGGCCTGTTCCCTCAGGGCTTCCTGATCTGGGCTGATGTCCCTTGAAGAGCTATTTTTCTGTGCCTTTTGCCTACAATCCATCCTCTCTGCCCCCCTGAAACGTGTGAGTGTGCACTTTTGCCACCCGCAGCAGTGGGCTGGGAGCTATGGCAACAGGTCCCGCCCCACTGCTGCCTCTCCTCACACCGCACCGGCCCTCTGCTCCTTTTTTTTTTTTTTTTTTGATTTTATACGTTATTTTATTTTATTTTTTTTATTATAAATTAATTTTTATTGGTGTTCAATTTACCAACATACAGAATAACACCCAGTGCTCATCCCGTCAAGTGTCCCCCTCCGTGCCCGTCACCCATTCACCCCGATGTTTCTAGCAGCCATGTCCACAATAGCCAAACTGTGGAAGGAGCCTCGGTGCCCATCGAAAGATGAATGGATAAAGAAGATGTGGTTTATGTATACAATGGAATATTACTCAGCCATTAGAAACGGCCCTCTGCTCCTACCTGCTTTCCTGTTCTCGCAGGGGGCTGGCTTTGTGAGGTTGTCGGTGCATCTCCGTGCATCTCCCAGGGCTGCGTCTCCGCCTCCACCCCAGCCTGGTTTCAAGTCTCTGTGGCCTAGTAGAGTACACAACACAGCCGGCGTGTTAACAAGTGGTTACAATGGAGCCCAAAAAAGTCTGATGGGACAAAGCATGGCCTTAAATTGTGTCCCCCAGAATGCATGCTTAAGTCCTGACCCCTGACGCCTGGGAACGTGACCTTAATTGGAAAAAGTCTTTGTGGATATAATCAAATGAAGCCGACGTCACTAGGGTGGGCCCTAATCCAACAGGATGGGTGTCTGAATAGGAAGAGCAGAGACAGACACACAGGAGGCCACATGAGCACGGAGCAGAGACAGGACGATGTGGCCGCCCACACAGGGCTGCCCGGAACCCCAAGAGTGGAAGAGGCAGGAAGTGTCCTCCCCCAGAGCCTCCGGAGCTCGGCCCTGCCCACACCTTGATGTTGGATTTGGCCTCTAGTCATGGGTTGGGGGGGGGGGGGAGATCACATGGTTGTCCTAAGCCAGCAGCGACAGCAGCCCCAGGAAGGGACAGCTGTCTCACCGAACGCGTGCCTGTCCTCCAAGCTGTGGCTGTGAGTGGCCCAGTAATGTGTAGTGATGGATTGAATAGGCACCAAGGAAGATGCCCAAGCTTTGGCTGGTCGCTGCTCCACTTGGAGTCTCTCTACGTCGTGATGGAGGATGGCAGACACAAGTCAATACGGAGTCAGGAAGAAAACCATGTCCAAGGGCCTGGGTGGGGCCGGCATGGAGAGGGAGGTGACAGGTGCGTTGCCTTCAGAGGGAGGTAAGGAGGAGGGTGGAGAGGACTCAGCGAGGGGCCGGGGGAGGGGTGGGGGGCTTTGTCCGGGGGAGCATGTGAGTGGGGACATCTGGTGGGAACCGGGGCCTCTGCCCAGTGTGTGGCCCTCTGCTCTCCCTGCCGAGGCCCCTTTGGGACCCAGGTTTGGGTGCATGCAACCCACAGCACTTGTCACCCCTAACTCCATAGCTACCTGCCCCTCTTCATGGATGTGGCACCCTCTAAAATATGTCAGGGATGTTATTTTAAACCTCTCTTCTAGCCAATGGGTTACAACCAGCTTACAGTGTAGTTTTGTTCGCTCAGACAGTCGCGGTGCTGCTTTTCCTTGTTAATCTGTGATTCAAAGTGAGTGGACTGGTTCATGGCTTTGGGGTCTCAGTCAGCTTCTCCTTGACCCAATAACCCTGTAGTGGGAGGCCATGATGCCATTCCCCAAGGTCACACACTGTCCAGGTGGTGGGCCTGATGCTCGACTCCAGGCCTCTGACTCCAGAACCCACTATCCTCACCACTGTCCTGGTGTTTCTCAAACTGGGGTCTCCAGCACCCCACCAGGGTGTCCAGAAAGCCAACACTATCTTCACAATTACAACAAGACACTGGTTTCCCTTTCTCTGTGTCCTTCATGAGTGAATGGTGGAACTTTCTGGAAGCTACATGATGGGTGGTATTGGCACATAGTGACGATGACAGAAGCTGATGAGAATCCAGCTGTCCCCCATTACACCCTTTTTACCAGGGTTTGGGTGGAGAGGAGGAGGAGGCAGTGACTTAAAAAAAAAAAAAAGCATCATGTGTAAGCCCATGACACGTCATGTTATTTTATTTATTTTTTATTTTATCATTTATTTTTTCAGTGTTAAGCTTTTATTATCCCTGCTTGTAAAATTTAGTTTTATTTCTCCCACCGTACATTGAGCTATAACTGACTTATAACATTTATAAGTTTCATAGTGTGGCAGGGTGATCTGATACGTGGATATCTTGTGAAATAATCGCCACAATGAATTTACTTCTTGCACATTTTCTTCATTGCGATGAGAACTGAGAACGGTTCAGATCTACTCTCTGCAACTTTCCAACACACAGCACGGCATCGTGAGCGATTGCCACCGTGCTGTGGGTCACATCCCCAGGACTTGTGGGTCTTGTAAATGGAAACCTGTGCTTTTGACCACCGTATTGATGTTTTCTTAAACGAACTTTAAACAAATATTCTAAAACTTGGCCAGCGCCCATTTCCGCTATCCTGTTACACGTGAACCCACATACACAAAAGGGTTCGGGACCCTTGATAGTGGTCGGGGGTGATGCTATGGGCACCATGTGATTGGGGACCAGTCTTCCCTTTTTTTTAAAGATTTATTTATTTATTCCTGAGACACACACACAAACACACACACACAGAGAGAGAGAGAGAGAGAGAGAGGCAGAGACACAGGCAGAGGAGAAGCAGGCTCCCTGCAGGGAGCCCAATGTGGGACTCGATCCCGGATCCCAGGATCATGCTCTAAGCCGAAGGCAGATGCTCAATTGCTGAGCCACCCAGGCATCCCCCAGTCTTCACTTCTTGGGGTCACAGTGCTCAGATCCCTTAGTAGAAATGATGTCCCAATAATAGTGAAACACAAGTTTTCTGTCTTGAAACCTTCCTTTATTCAAAATAAACTCCAGACCAATACAGCAGTGCCCCCTCCACGACTATTTCTGGAGGGTCGTGAAGGGTCTCAGACGTGGTCAGGAATCCTTTGGGTCTTGGCTAGCTTCCAGGTGCTCTCACCAAACCCTGCTGCGCTGTGGTGCGCCACCATCGCTTATAATCCAGGAGAGACCAGCAAGGCCACTGCCCACCTCTGCCCAGAGGGTTCCACCTGTACCCCGAGAAACACAACTGATCAGATGGGTGTCTGTGTGTAAAGAGGTTTGTGTGAAGGACTTAACTCACATGCTAGTGGGCCCTGGTGAGTCCAGAATGTATAGGGCCGGCAAGGCAAGATCTCCAAGTTACTGTCTAAAGGGGATTCCTTCCTTCTCAGGAAACCTCTTAGAGCCTTCACCTGATTGGATGAGGCCCACCCACATTATGAAGGTGATCAGTTTTACTTGAAGTCAAGTGATTTAAATATTGATCACATTTACAAAATACCTTCACAGCAATGTCTAGACCAAGGTTTGACCAAACAGATGCTGGGTACTATGGCCCACTCCCCTTCCAGGTCACTCTGACATGGGTCTGGTATCCCTCAGCAGGGTGGTCTGGACCATAAGATGATACAGGGTTTACTGGGACGGAGCTTTTTGCCCATATATTCCATCTGCCCCCTTTTCTCTCGGGTGGTTGGGTCAGGAGGATAGGGTGGGTGGACCCTGACCTTGGCCGTGCAGAGCACACCCTGTCCTGCCAGGATGGCTGCTTCTCAGGGCCCCCAAGCCTCCTTGAAGACCAGGAGAAACACCGACAATGGGTCCAGATCCATTTTGCAAGAGGTCCCTGAACATCATGCCTATTGGGAATAAGCAGATGCCCGGAGGAGGGGTTGGGCACACGGGAGAGGCAGTTCTCTGGAAGCTGCCCTGTGTCCACCAGAAAGAGGAGAATGGGAAGAGCCATACAGAGCAGAGGGACTGGGGGGACACAGAGTCCAGATGGATGGCAGCAGATCACAAATAGCAAGGGGACCGTGAAGGAGAGATGCTCGCGGGGTGGACACCCTGAGTGCTGGGGAAAGTCGGGTCAGATGGTGGGCACATGGTCACTTCTGCTTCCTGTTTGTGCCACTCCCCCGGGGAAATTTTGTTTGTTTTCTTAAAATTTAAAAACATCCATTGTTGGACTATTCCTCAGCCATTAGAAACGACAAATACCCACCATTTGCTTCAACGTGGATGGAACTGGAGGGTATTATGCTGAGTGAAGTAAGTCAATCGGAGAAGGACAAACAGTGTATGTTCTCATTCATTTGGGGAATATGAATAATAGTGAAGGGGAATATAAGGGAAGGGAGAAGAAATGTGTGGGAGATATCAGAAAGGGACACAGAACATAAAGACTCCTAACTCTGGGAAACGAACTAGGGGTGGTGGAAGGGGAGGAGGGCGGGGGGTGGGGGTGAATGGGTGACGGGCACGGAGGGGGACACTTGACGGGATGAGCACTGGGTGTTATTCTGTATGTTGGTAAATTGAACACCAATAAAAATTAATTTATAAAAAAAAAAAAAAAAAAAAACATCCATTGTTTTTCTGGGTGGTTTTGCACTTTGACTTTGAAGCACTGCGTCTTGCCCTGACTGGCTGGTGCCTGGTCCACACATCACGGGGGAGACAGGCCAGGGGTGTTGAGACTCAGCTGGAGGCCTGCATGGTTCCTGTCAGGTCCTCTCCCATGGTTGCCCTGACCCCCTGACCGGACCCCAGGCCATCAGGGAACATCTTAGGGGAAGGAGAGTGAGACAGAGCCTGGGGGGCAGGAGTGCTTGATTGCTGCAGAGAGTGGGACCCTCTTTCCATAACTCAGCTGTGCTCAGCTGAGCTGGGCGTGTGCCAGGCCTGGACCTGCTCCCCATCTTGGCTTTTGGGGGACAGGCTCCAGGCAGACATGCTTCTAAAGGGTTTGTAGCTCCAGCTGCAAGGGCAGGAGGGGTCTGGCTGGGAAGCCTGAGCATTCCCTCCTCTGCTGCTCTGTCCTGCCCCGCTCCAACGCCCCCGCCCAGGTCGTGGAGTTTGCAGAGACATGCATTTGCACTTAATTGCTCCGAAGCATCAATCAGTGCGCTGGCAGGATCCCTTCATTCAGGGGCATAGCGCAGTCCCGCAACCTCCACCCCACCTGCCTGCCGCCCCCACCCCCTCGGGAGGCACCGGCTCTGGGCCTGGGAAGAGCCTGTTTTGCTTCCTCCACAGGAGACTGTTTGGAGGAGGGGCTCGCACACCAATGGGCTAGTTCAGGAAGTGCTGCTACAGCTCTGCTTTGCCTGGAGGTGGCGTTCTAGCACCGTCCATGAGGCCACAGGCTACCTTTAAGGAGGTTTAGGGAGATTTGCAGCACTTTGTTGAGATCTCCTGCTCAGTCAGGGCAGCCGCCTTCCTGAGACCACCTGCAATGCCGCAGGTGGTCACTGTGGGCTCATCCCCACAGCCGTCATGCACCCCACTTTACAGATGAAGCACAGAGCTGGGGATACATAGCTGGCAAGTGGGGGGCGCGGTTGGGGGGCTGTCCCTGTGTCTGTGCATCCTCAGGGGAAGGCTGGCCCCTGGGCCAGTGATGTTGTGAGGACCCTTGTGAAACCCACCCCGCTGATTGTCCTGGGACTGTGACGATTTTCTTGCCATCAGCTGCTGGGCTGGGCTGGTCTCCCTCTGACGCTGTCAGTCAACCGTGTGGAGCCAGAGCATTTCCCTCTTTGCCTAGAGCTGGGAGCTCAAGATGTTGTGGGGCAAACAGTTGAGTGTCAAACCATTCAGCTTTGGTTTTCGATCTGGCCTGCCCTCGGAGAAGCTGGCAGATGCATCCCAGCCAGCGCAGGGCTGGATGAGGTCTGGCCGGATGAGGTGACGTGAGGTTAGGGTCGTGGGACCCACAGGGCGGTGGGCTGGGCAGGGGTGTGGGAAGGTGGCAACCAGGATGAACGTGAATTGCACCCACGTGTGAAAGCATCAGGGGCCTGGGACCCATGGTGTTGCTGGGTCTGCACAGGGCAGGTCTTGGGCGAGCTTTTGGTCTGAGAGGGGCTGCAGGGCCGGAGCCGCAGTGAGGACAAGGCTCGGTGGGGAGCCCCTTGTAGAGGGTGGTCTTGGGCTGGGCAGGTACGTGGTGGTCAGCGTGCTCCTCATCCCAACAGGCCGCCCCGTGGCAGCAGCTGGCTGGGACCAGGGGGTCAACTCACTCTGGAGTCGGGAGGCTCGGCTGTGCCCTGAGGGGGCAGAGGCTGCTGCCTGGCAGCGGGGTGCCCCGTGTGACTGGCCAGAGCGCAGGACAGCAGTGAGGGCGACTGACAGTTACAGACGAAGCTGTTTGGGGCCAGGATTGTAGTTGGGCTTCCTGGACTTCTTGCTGGTGTGGTGGACCTGCCTTCCTGGACTCCTGCTGCCCGGGGCAGCGGGTGGCTGCCTTGGTGACTGTGGACGGCAACAGAGAAGGGCTGACAATCCCCGTGTCGCCCATGGCCTACATGTCTGTTTGGATGTTTGTCTCCAGCATTTTATCAACACTCAGTGTAATTGAAATCTTGCCACTTGCAGCAACGTGGACGGTCCTTGGGGGCATGAGGCTGAGCGGAACAGGCCAGATGGAGACGAACCCGCATGACCACCTTCCACGGGGCTGGGAAGTAAACCTGCCGACACCGAGAGAAGCTGCTGCTCGCCAGGGCTGGGGGCCTCTGCAGTGAAGGTGCTCGGGAGGTCCCAACTCCCAGTTATGAGGTAAATAATGGGGAAAAATCTTGCAAGTTTGTATTTGAAAGGTCAAATAATGCAGGGGGTTTAGAGGGAAAGCAAGACTTGGCCTCGCCCTCTCTCAGCCCTGGGCCCCATGCAGAGGATCTCTCTCTGTCTCTGTCTCTCTGCCTCTGTCTCTTTGTCTCTGTCTGTCTCTCTGACTCTGGCTCTGTCTGTCCTCTATCTGGATCTCCCTCCCCCCACCCCTGAGGTCCAGGCTCAGACAGGACGGGTCCTCCTGAGGCCAATCTGTGTGTGTGTGGACGGCTATGCTCTCCCTGGGTCCTCACTGGGTCATCCCTCAGTGAGTGTCTGTGTCCTGATCCCCTCTTGTTGTGAGGACCCTGGTCACACTGGATCAGGGCCACCTTGGTGACCCCATGTCACCTCTAGCACCTCTGTAAAGGCCTGATCTCCAGCCGTGGTACCATTCTGAGGTCCAGGGTGTAGGACTCTGACTTATGAATTTGGGGGACACTGTACTTTGAACATCCCTCCTCTTGGGGTAAATTTCCTTCCTGGCTAATTCCCAGAAAGCCACACCAGCACCAGCTCTGAGGGTCTCTAGATCCTGCATTGGTGTAGAACCTGCCCTGACTTTCCAGGTACCTCTCCAGGGAGGTCTCACCAGAGTCCCAGGGGTGGGTGGATTGGCTAATCTGGCCTGAGTTATTTGCCCACTGTTTCTGGGGCTGGGGCCCTCCCTATCACAGGGGGAGCAGGCTGGCACACCCACGCAGGTTCTCAGGTGCCAAGCAGCAGCATCAGGATGCAGGCAGTTGGCCCAGGAGAAGCAGGGCCGGGGCCAGTGGCCAGAACCACAGGGGCAGGAACCCCACCTCTCTGCAGCTACAGAGTGAAGACGGGGATGTGGGTGGATGGTATACTCATCTCTGGAGCCCTGGCACCCAGTTGGGACCCTCAGAGAATCAGGCCAGTGCCATGGGCACGGTCGGCTATGGGAGAGGCCAGGTCAGCTGCTCCGTGGGTGTCCCAGAGCCTGGCGACCTCCCGGGCCTCCGAGCTGGCCTCTGCATGCGGCCTTCCTGTGACGAAGGGTGGGTGGCTGGGGAGGGGGCACAGGGGTCAGGTGGGACGTCGGCTGGGGTGGGGGTGACGGCAGGGTCTCGGTGGGGCCAGGAGGGGACGCTTGTTCCCACCGCTGCTTTCCGGGTGACCTCCTCTTGCACTTTCTACATCCTGTGAGAAGGCCCCTTGCCTGGGTTCTCATGTAAACATGTACGGCTATAAATTCTCTTCAAGTCTCTGCTACTTTGGGGCCTGTCTCCCTGGTTTTGATACAGAATCTTTTCTAAATGCTGTCTAATTGCTGGAATTACTTCTTTAATCTATGCATTATGGGGAGATATGCCTTTAAATTTCCAGAAACGTGGGGCTTTTCCAGCTATCTTTTTGATGTTGGTCTTCAAAAGTCCTGCAGGGGATGGAGAACATTCCCTGCGGCTGTGCTGAGATTAGGCTCATCGTGAGTAAGTGGACAGCTGTCCGGGCTTACAGATGCCCGTTCTTCAACCACGGGGTGCAGAGTCTGTCCACACCCAGAGTCTTTAACCTTTTAGTTGTGTGCTTCAAACTTGCCGGCCTTCCTGGCCATTTTGAATCCGACCAGAACTGAGAGAGATGTGCTGACCGTTCCCCCCTTAGGCATGCACTCACTGAATCCCCCCCCCCCCACACACACTCTCGGCAGCCTCCCACCTCAGGGCCTTTGCGCTGGCTGGGCGAGAAAGCACTGCCCGGGGACTGGACGGCTCACTGCTTTGCTGTGACCTGGTTGACAGATGGACACCTTCGCCAGGAGGTCCACCCTTTAACACAGGCCACCTTCCCTCTGGGAAGTCCTTTCCACTTCCCTGTTTTATTGTCCTCCTTGGAACACTCTCTGTCACTCAGTGGTCCCACTTGCTCTCATCCCTCCCTCCCCATAGAGGGTCACTCAGTGGTCCCGCTTGGTTTTGACTGTCCCTCCCCATAGAGGGTCACTCAGTGGTCCCGCTTGCTCTCATCCATCCCTCCCCATAGAGGGTCACTCAGTGGTCCCACTTGCTCTCATCCCTCCCTCCCCATAGAGGGTCACTCAGTGGTCCCGCTTGCTTTCATCCCTCCCTCCCCATAGAGGGTCACTCAGTGGTCCCGCTTGCTTTCATCCCTCCCTCCCCATAGAGGGTCAGCTGCCCAGACCGAGACTGTTGTGTGTTTTCTTCCCATCTGCGTCACTGCTCCCAGCCGGTGCCAGGACTAAGCAGATGCCGCGTCGGGTCTGCTCAGAAGGACGGATTCTCCTCGGCTTTACTGTGCCGTGTGTGTGTGTTTCTACAGATCCTGTTTTCAAACCAGAAATCTCAGTGTTAGCATTTCTCATAAACACTCAAAAATTCTCCCACATTATCTCTTCGAACGTTGACCCCCCCCACCCCCCGCCCCTCGCTCCCTCTGCCCCCTCCGGCAGCCCGGCGGCCTGCGGGTCCCTATGTGTCTGTGTTCCCGTGTGGAAGGAGAGATAACCTATCGGTGTTTACACACCCCGGCACCGACTCTCTTTTCATCTGGCCGAGCCAGACCCGGCAAATTGTGAAATTCAGTTAGTGTAGTTCTTGTTTGTAGAATTTCCGCGTTCGCTGTCCCGGGTGTGTGGCCGTGTTTGTGGGCTCTCCTCTGCTCCCCTTCCAGAGGCTCTGGTATTTCTTTAGAGATTTCTGCAGCACCTCTTCTGTGCCATGTGTGCTCGTTGCAGAGACTGGGGCCTTTGCTGGGTGGGCTCTCCTGCCGGTGGCTGCTGCCTCTCCCACCAGGCCTGTGTGTGCGGTTTGTGATTTGTGATTTGGGCTCCCGGGAACTTCATCTGTGGGGTCCGTTGACATCTGATTGCAGGTGACTTTCCTTCTGGATTGTTTGCTTGCATCCTTGCTCACCTGGCGCGTCCCAGCCTGGGTTGCCTTGACAAGACGTCCCATGTGCCTCCAGTTTTCAGGGGACGCTTGGCAGGGCCAGCCTCGAGGCTGCTCTCCCACCACACCCCTGGCCAGCACTGGTCCCCGCAGCTTCCCTTGGCCAGGCCTATGGGGGGCCAGCGGCACTTGTTCACCTTCCCCTGTGGATCCGAAAGTCCCTCAGGCCTGGGCACTGAGGAGCCCCCTGGTGACCTTCCAAAAATCATTCTGTGATCTAGCAGGTGTTTCTTGTGGGAGGGCTGTGGTTGGCGTCTGGTCAGCCTGTCTTACCCAGCAGGCTGCGTACAAGTGGAACTCAGCAGAACATTTGGAAATGTGCATGTTGTGGAGTTGTGGAGTTGTGGAGCACTCCGGCCATGGTGCTGTTGGGCCTGCTGCCCTCAGAGCAGGCCCGGGGCCGGGCCCGGGGGCTCCAATTGTGCAGCCTGCTCCCCAGCATTGGCCTGCCTTGCCCGATGAGCCCCCAACACATGAGCTCCTGGGAGGACTGTTCTTGCACATCAAAGTCCAGAGTCTGGGGCCTCAGAGTGGGGCCTTTTGTGGAAATAAGGCTGTGGCAGCCGCGGCTCTGGGTCAGGGAGCCCCTGACCCAACAGGACTGGTGTCCTTATAGTGAGTGGACATCAGGACACAGAGAGACGACCCTGTGAGGACCCAGGGAGAGCATGGCTGTCCACACACAAGCCGAGAAGCTTCAGGGGGACCCTGCCTCCCCACACCTGGACCTCGGGCTTCGGCTTCCAGGACCAGGGGACAGTGAGCATCTGTGGTTCAAGCCAGGGTTTGTGGTGCTTTGTTAAGGCCAACTGAGCAAACTCATACAGTAGGGAACACGGTGGAGCTAGGGATGTTGGTCCCAAAAGTATGGGAGTGGAATTATGTAAAAGTTTTACATGTTTTTAATCATGTAGAAGCTGAAACAAAGACTCACAGAGTAAACTTCTGGGAGGTACAGATTGTATTTATTTAGAGATCCAGACTGAACACTTGTCAAAGGGGGAATCCCAGCAACTGAGCAAAGAACCTGAACCATTGACAGAGAAGGAAGGGAAGGGCTTGGAGACCCCGTTCCCTCAGGGAGGACCCCAGGGCACTGATGCCTCAGTGTCCTCCAGCTAGAGATTAGTGGCCATCCCAGTTCAGACAGCGGGTTGGGGAAGGAGGGACATGGGGAAGCTAGGAGTGGGCGGGGGTGAGGAGAGGGTCGGCAAGGGTCCAGATCAGAGGGCATCCAGCTCAGGATCCTCCCTGTGAGCTCTCTGGAGGCACCAAGTGGCTTGGTGAGCTCAGGAATGGTGGCGGAGGGGACAGGGCCCTGGGGTTGTTCATGAGTTGAGTCCTGAGGTCTGGCCACGAGGCTGCAGCAGTCCAGAGGACAATAGACCCAGGGTTATACACCAGGAGCTCAGAACACACTGGCCATTCCAGGAGAGCTCAGATCTGCAGGAGCCAGAGCTCTGCTTTCTGGGTCTAGGATGCAGCACTTGTCACTGCCTAGTGGAGAGACAGGGGTACAAGGGCCACCTGAGGCCTGTGGCCAGCATCTCACACCTTGCACTGGCAGCAAACGGGGACACAGCAGCAGGACTGGGAGCAGCAGGGTTTGCAGCAGCTGGACTGGCAGCAGCAGGGTTTGCAGCAGCAGGACTGGGAGCAGCAGGGTTTGCAGCAGCAGGACTGGGAGCAGCAGGGTTTGCAGCAGCAGGACTGGGAGCAGCAGGGTTTGCAGCAGCTGGATTCACAGCAGCAGGGTTTGCAGCAGCAGGACTGGGAGCAACAGGGTTTGCAGCAGCAGGACTCACAGCAGCAGGGTTTGCAGCAGCAGGACTGGGAGCAGCCACAGGAGCCACAGCCTCCCTTAGAGCCTCCGCAGGACCCACAGCCCCCCTTGGAGCCACCGCAGGAGCCACAGCCCCCCTTGGAGCCCCCACAGGACCCACATCCCCCCTTGGAGCCCCCACAGGACCCACAGCCCCCCTTGGAGCCCCCGCAGGACCCACATCCCCCCTTGGAGCCCCCACAGGACCCACAGCCCCCCTTGGAACCCCCACAGGACCCACAGCCCCCCTTGGAGCCCCCGCAGGACCCACAGCTAGAGCAGGGACAGGCCGGCACACAGCAGCACACGGGCTTGCAGCAGCAGACAGGCACACAGCAGCTGGAGCCACAGCCCCCAGAGCAGCCACAGCAGGTCATGGTTCTGGTGGGTGGAGGGTGGAGCAGGTCAGAGGAGCAGGTGCAAGGGGAGGGGTTCAGGTGTGGAGCCTCCTGGGCTGGGCCCCCCCCTCTATATACCTGCCCAAGGTGTTTATACTCTAGACATGATTACTTCCGTTTATGTGTTTACACTATTTCTTATGGACAAGTGTTATTTTTAAACTCTGCAATCCCATGAACTCCTAAGAGCTCAAGCCAGGTCAACTTTCTTTGGTTCCTAAATCTGGCTCCTTCCTCATGAGTATTTTTCTTTGTAAACAGAGACCGAGCTCCTTCCTCAGGAGAGGAGGTCAGTGGTGGGTGGGCTGGGGTGCTGCCATCCGTGGCTTTTCCACTTCTGCTCATTGATAAGGATCCTCTGTCCCCCTGACCCTGGGCGCTGGTGTTTATACTCCTGCTTAAAAATCAGTTGCTGCTCATTTTTGTAAACATAAGTGTCAAGTTGAAGGACAAGACTCTTTGCAGCCACACGGCCCCAAATGGTCAGCACAGATATTTTGTTAAATTGGTAAAACAAAATCTTGTAGCGCTTAGTTTTCATGCACCACCCATAATTCCTCTCTCTTACTCAATCAGCTCCCCGGGCCCCATCTGGCCAGCCCCCAGCACCAGCCACACCCAGAGTTCTCTTCAGGAGACCCAGTTCACAAATTCCTGCTAGGGCACCCACACTTTGTAAAAACCCCACACATCCGCTAACATAATTCAAATTCATTGTCTTTGAAGTCTATGCCAGTTTACCAAGTGGGTGGGCCACCATTTGATTAGCCATCCTCTCTGGCAGGCTTCCATTGTCTAGAAAATTAATTTTTTTTTATCAAGTTAACATTCACATCCAGTGAAATGCACATATTCCAAGTCCACAGCATTGAGTTTTGCTCAGCGTGTGGTGGTGCCACCACCGCGCACCTGGACAGACGTCTCTGGCCTTCCAGAAGGTTCCCTCTTCTCTGCCCACTCCTGGTGTTCAGTGTCGGGTGCTGTCCCCTCTCTGCACATGCATCCTCGTGCAGAGAACCGGCCCTCGTCCTGACCTTGATTTGCATTGCTCTGATGACTAACGTTGTCTACCCTCTTTTCAGGTGCTTGTTGGTGACACACACATCCTTCTTGGGAAAATGTTCAAATTTTTTGTCCCTTTTTATTGTGGTTTTCTCTTTCTTAGTGGTTGATTTGTTGGAGCTCTTCATAGATGGTGGCTACATGAAGGGCTAGGGATGTATGTGTTATGTACAACTATATGTAATTATATGTATTATCTTAACAGCGTCCTTGGAGAGGGAGACGTTTAACATCTGGCTTGAAGTGAGCCTGTTGCTCTGACCTCTCTGAAAACTCGGATTTTCTTCTTGGAGTGACGGAGGTATTTTTATGCGTATTTCTATGGTGGGCTTTGGACTGATTTTTGTGCACCATGAGAGGCCAGAGTTCATCATCAGAGCGATTGTGCAGGTATAGACCAGACTGCAAGAAGAGGGGCCGCACAAGGACGGGATGTGCCAGGTTGGGATGTGCCAGGTTGGGGGGTAGTGCACCATCAGGCAGGTGAGCTGCTCTACTGGGAAGAGATGTTAGATGTGTCAGCTCCTCTGTGACTATTTTTTCTTTTCTTTTCTTTTCTTTTCTTTTCTTTTTTCTTTCTTTTCTTCTCTTTTCTTTTCTCTTTTCTTTTCTCTTTCCTTTCCTTTCCTTCAATTTTATTTATTTATTTGAGAAAGAGGGAGAGCCAGAGAGAGAGCAGGAGTGGAGGGGAGAAGCAGAGGGAGAAGCAGACTCCCCAATGAGCAGGGAGCCTGATGTGGGACTTGATCATAGGACCTAGGATCATGACCTGAGCTGAAGGCAGATGCTTCACCGACTGAGCCACCAGGGGTCCCTCATCTGTGACTGTTTTCAGGACATGATGGCCCTTCCTGGTTCCTGGGGATGCGGGGTCTGGGGTGCTGGGGTAATGAGGACCAGCCTCGACTGGACCTGGGGTCTGGGCTAGGAAGTGGGCTGGACGCTGAACAAGGGTCTTGGTTGTTGAGGAAATTTCCGAGTGGTGGAGGAGCCACTCCTGAAAGCAGGGGGTGATGCAGGGATGGAGCCAGGGCAGCTGCCACCAACTGCCATTGGTTCTGCTTTGGAGGCCCATGTGGGCTCTGATGGGTACCACCTTCACCGCCACCACTGACCATGTAGGGCGCTTTCTGTGCACCAGTCACTCAGTTGTGCTCTTTGGAAACGGTGCCTTTGGGAGTCAGAGGATCCCCATTGTAGCTTCTTATTTGGGGAAAACTGTAGGTTCCCAGCCTGTGGACTCACCAAGGGACACCATCAAGGCCAGATCTGTTTTAATCTGAATTTTAACCATTCGTGGCTGCTCAGGACCTTCTAAGGATTATCAGTGAGCAGTTGGGGTCGAGATCTGTAGTTCCTCACATTTCTGGGCTGATCCCACCCCTGTCCTTCTGGCCTGCACAGAGGCCTGTTCTTTGAGTTCACCTCTTTCTCATAATGCTCTGCAAAATGTGGCCACAGTGCACTACGTAGAGGCAGCCCTGAGTTTCCTGAGTTTCCCCCCCCCAGAGATACATGATCTGGGACTGTGATACCAAACCCATAATAGCCATCTTTCCAGCCTCTGAAAACAATTTCCTTTCCACTCCCGCCCTGGCCACTGAACCAAGGCCACCACTCTCTGCTTTCGTTATATTACCTTTCTGGGTCAAGCAGGATGGGTCAACCAATTATGCTGCTGAGCTAGCTGCCCCCACGGTTCAGTGCTTATTTCGGGCTCGTGCTACACGCCACCGCAGGCCAGCTCCCGGCTCACTGCACTTCCTCCCTTGGGACTCAGGCTGGAGCAGCCGCCGCGCTGGGAATGCTAGTGGTCTGGAGGAAGGAAAAGCGTACGTGGGAAACTGCACTGAGGTCTCTGCTCACGGGCTCATGCAAATCACATGGTCACGTCCAGCTGCCGGGGGACCTCGGGGGCCACTTGCCACCTGCCATCTGACCCTGTCCCCAGGAAAGGAGGAACAAGGGGGCCTGTAAATAGCCTGGATTCAGTGTTCCGTGTGGCAGCCCTGTCAGCACTTTAGATGGTTTTAGCTAATGATCTTAAGCCTGTCTTCTCAACTCACTTATGCATTTAAAGCTAGAAGTTTCCACTACGCCCGACTGGGCTGTGTTCAGTAAATTTAATAGGTAATGATTCACCATCATCACCTACACCCGTCCTTTTGCTGGGGTTACAAAGCGGTGGGTTTCTAATCCTGCAGTTCCTCACTGATGGGCTGGGGTACGTCCTCTCTCCATCTGCTTGCCATACGGTGGAGTTTGTGTATTGAAAACAGGAAAAAGCACGATTCTTTTCCTTATCTCCTCTTGTTCAGAATAACGAATTGATTCCCAACATCCTCCAAGGGCAACTGAAGGCCTTGCATATTTTTCCCAGCTTCACTGAGGGGTGGTTGATAAATGAGGAATGCATAAACTTAGTCTGCACCATGTGATGTTTTGATGCCTGTACACACTGTGATTACCACCATCTAGGTAACAATCCAGCACCTCGCACACTGACCCGACCCCCACTTTTCTGTAGTGAGAACATTTAGGATCTGCTCCTTTTGCCACTTTCAAGTGTACACCACACTATAGTCAACTATAGTCCCCGTGGTGTGCCTTACATCCTGGGAACGGTTTGCCCTACAATGGGAAGTTGGTACCCCTTGACAGACGTCTCGTCCCCTTCCCCCAGCCCACCCCATGGCCGCCACCATTCTGTAATTTATTACTGTGAGTTCCATGCTGTTAGATCCCATCTATAAGTGAGATTATGCAGTATTTGTCCTTCTGGGTCTGGCTCATTTCACTGAGCATAATGTCCTCCAGCTTCATCCATGTTGTCACAAATGGCAGGATTTCCTTCTTTTTAAATATTGTGTAATGGTTCATTGTATATGTAAACTATACCTTCTTTATCCATTCATCTGTTGACAGACACTGAGGTTGCTTCCATATCTCGACCATTGTGAAGAACGCTGTAGTCACTATGGGGGTGCACGCATCCCTTCAAGCTAGTGACTTCATTTCCTTTGGGTAAATACCCAGAAGTGCAATTACTAGATCATAGGGTAGCTCTATTTTTAACTTTTTGAGGACCCTCCATACTGTTTTCCAGAGTGGCTGCACCAGCTTGCATTCCCACTAACCGTGCGCAAGGTTTCCCTTTCTCTGCATCCTCACCAGTGCCTGTTGTTTCTTGCCTTTTTGGTACCAGCCATTCTGACAGGTGTGAGGCGGTATCTCATTGTGATTTTGGTTTGCAGTTCCCTGATGAGTGAGGTTGAGCACTTTTTCATGTACTCATTGGCCATTTGTATGTTTTCTTTGGAAAAATGTCTATCTATTTGGGCCCTTTGCCTATTTTTTAATAGAGTTATTTGTTTTTTGGCAATTGAGTTATATGAGTTCCTTATATGTTTTGGATATTAACCCCTTATCAGATAATATGGTTTACAAATATTCTCTCCCATCCTGTAGGTTGCGTGTTCACTCTGTTGATTGTTTTTTGTTTTGGTTTTCGTTTTTTTTTTTTTTCCCCTGTGCAGAAACTATTTAGTTTGATGTGGCCCCACTGTTTGTTTTGCTTTTGTTTTCTGTGAAAGCAATCTGTCTTGGATTTTCCTTTGCTGGGAGATTTTAATTCAGTCTCCTGACTGGTTATTGGTCTGTTCATATTCTTTCTTTTTTCTTTCTTTCTTTCTTTCTTTCTTTCTTTCTTTCTTTCTTTCTTTCTTTCTTTCTTTCTTTCTTTTTTCTTCCTTCTTTTCCCTTCCTTCCTTCCTTCCTTCCTTCCTTCCTTCCTTCCTTCCTTCCTTCCTTCGAAGGAGAGTACACATGAGCAGGGATGGTGGGAAGGGCAGAGAGAGAGAGAATCTCAAGCTGACTCCCCACCTACTGCAGAGCCTGACATGGGGGCTTGATCTCACAACCTTGCGACCATGACCTGAGCCAAAATCAAGAGTCAGATGCTTCAAACCGACTGGGCCAACCAGGCTCCCCCAGATTTTCTATTTCTTAATGATTCAGTCTTGGTCGGTTGTATGCTTCTAGGAATTCATTCCTTTCTTCTAGGTTGTTGTGCTATGATAAAAAAATATATATATATGGTCTTTGTCTCCGGTTTCTGGTAAGAAGCTCCTAAAAACCTTAGGACTTCCTGAGAGGTAAGAATGTCTTTTGTCACTTATTAGGAGTCTCTTTTGAGCACACCTGAGTGAATGTTGATGAGGTGACTCAGGGTGGGGCCCCTAGATAGCCCCAGGGTGGGGCTAGTCTCCAGAAAGACCTTGGAACTTTCAGCCCCACCCACCTGCCTCTGGAAAGGGGAGAGGGTGCCCTACAGATTAGGTTCTATAAAAACTCAAACATCAAGACTTAAGGAGATTCCAGGTTAGTGAACATGGGGAGGTTTGGGAGAGGGTGGTATGCTCGACAGCATGGAAACTCTGTGCCCTTTCCCTGAACCTTGCTTCCTACATCTCTTCCATCTGCCTGTACCTGAGTTTATCCTTTTATAATCCACCCTTAATCTAGTATATGTGACATGTTTCTTTGAGTTCTGTGAGCAACTCCAGCAAATCAGTCAAACCCAAGGAAGGTTGTTGGAACCTTAGATCTCTCACTGGTCGGTTAGAAGCACAGGTGACTCTGGGCTTGTGATTGGCATCAGAAGTTGTTGAGGGGGGCGTTCCCATGGGACTGTGCCCTTCACCTGTGAGATCTGATGCTAGCGCCAAGTGGATCATGTCAGAACAGGTTTAAGTGAACTTTGTGGGACACTCAGTCTGTGACTGCAGAGAACTGGAGGGTTTTCTGGTGGTGTTGAGAAAACACACGCTAGAGGGCTCTGATCTGTTGGTGTGCTCACGGTAATCTCTTAGGATAAGTTGTGTTTTTATGGGATCTGATATAATGTCCCCTCTTTCATTTCGGGTTTTATTTGAGTCTAAATTAATCTAGTTAAAGTTTTGTCAACTTTTTTTTTTTATCTTTTCCAAAGTCTAACTCAGTTTCACAGATCTTTTTAGTTGTTTTTCTATAGTCTCTTTCATTTATTTCCACCCTGAACTTTATTATTTCCTTCATTCTACTAACCTTGGGCTTGGTTTGCTCTTTTGTTCCCTAGTTCCTTGAGATGTAACATTAGTTGTTTATTTGACATCTTTCTTTTTCTTAATCTAGGTATTTGTTATGTAAACTTCTGCCTTAGTCTGTTGGGCTGCTGTCGCAAAATATCACAGCCTGGGTGGCTCTTAAACAACAGAGCTTATTTGTTATAGTGGTGGGACTGAGTCCAAGATCATGGTGCTAGCAGATTGGGTGTGGTGGATGGTGAGGGCCCCCCTCCTGGCTCATAGATGATGCCTCCACCTGTGTTCTCCCTGTGGGAGAAGGCGCTGGGGAGCTCGGTGATGTCTCTTGGAAGAACACCAATCCCATTCAGGAGGGCTCCACTCTGATGACCTGGGCCCCTCCCAGAGGACCGACCTATTAAAACCATCATCTTTGGGAATTAAGATTTTAATATGAATTTTGAGAGGATGGAAACATTCAAGCCATGGCAAGTAACCTCTTATGCTGCATCCCATATATTTTGGTATGATGTGCTTCCATTTTCTTTTGTCTCCAGATATATTTTTTTAAAGATTCTATTTATTCATGAGAGACACACAGAGAGAGGCAGAGACACAGGCAGAGGGAGAAGCAGGCTCCCTGCAGGGAGCCCGATGCAGGACTCGATCCCAGGACCCCAGGATCACTCTCTGAGCTGAAGGCAGATGCTCAACCACCCAGGTGCCCCTCAAGATATTTTTTGGTGCTTCTTTTGATTTCCTCTTTGACTCAGTGGTTGTTCAGGAGTGTGTTGCTCACTTTCCATGTACATGTGAATGTTTCCATTTTCTTCCCATGACTGTTCTCTACTTTCCTGCCATTGGCTGTCAGAGAAAATGCTCCATACAATTTCAATCCTCCTGTGTTCAAGATCTGTTTTGTAACCTAACATGTGATCTATCCTGAAGAATGCCCCATGTCACTTGAGAAGCATGTGTTTGCTGTTCTGTAGGTGTCTGTTAGGTCCATTTGCTGTAAAACAGTTCAAGCTCAGTGATGTTCTGTGCGAGTGATCTGTCCATTGATGAAAGGGGACACTGAGGTTCCCTGCTACTCTTGTACCTGTCACTACTTTCTGATCTGTTACTCTTTGCTCCATACATTTAGGTGCTGTGACACTGGGTGGGTAAATATTCGTAATTGTTATAGCCTCCTTGTCATCCTCTTTGTCATTTATTATTATTATTAATTAATTAATTTATTCATGAGAGATACCGAGAGAGAAAGAGAGAGAGAGAGAGAGTCCCCTGATGTGGGACTCCATCCCGGGATTCCAAGATCATGCCCTGAGCCAAAGGCAGATGCTCAACCTCTGAGCCACCCAGGCATCCCTCCTCTTTGTCATTAATAATGACCTTCCTTGTGTCTTGTTACCATTTTGACTTGACTCTCTTTTCTCTGATGGGAGTACAGCTTCCCCGACTCTCTTGCTTTCCATTTGCTGGAAATATCTTTTTCCATCCATTTACTTTCAGCCTATGTGTGATCTGGAAGCTGAAGTGAATCCCTTGTAGGCAGCATAGAGTTGGGTCTTTTTTGTTTTTTCTTTAAATCTAGTAACTCTGTGTCTTTTGAAGAATTTAATCCATTTATGCTTAAAGTAATTATTGATAGGTAAGAATTTACTATTGTCATCTAATTAATTATTTCCTGACCATTTTGTAGTTCCTTTGTTCCTTTCTTGGTGTCTTCCTCTGGGATTTGATAATTTTCTGTAATGATATACTTTGAACCTCTTTATTTTGTGTATATCTACTGTAAGATTTTTCTTGTGTGGTTACCTCATGGTACCATGTACCCTGGTTACATGAAACACCTTATAGTTATGACACTATGCATTTTGCATATTATTTGTATTATTATTTGTGCATTATGTGCTCATAGATTTAAGCATACTTTTAAAAAAATATTTTATTTATTTATTCATGAGAGACAAACAGAGAGAGAGAGAGAGAGAGGCAGAGGGAGAAGCAGGCTCCATGCAGGGGAGTCCATTGTGGGACTCAATCCTGGGACTCCAGGATCACGCCCTGAGCCAAAGGCAGACGCTCAAGCTCAACCGCTGAGCCATCCAGGCATCCCACTGATTTAAGCATACTTGATGCGTATCAGTCCTTTTGTTTTTTGTTTTTAAAGATTTATTTATTTATTTGAGAGAGAGAGAGAAGGAGAGAGAGAGAGAGGAAGAGAGCAGGAGGAGGAGGAGGGAGAGGGAGAATCTGAAGCAGACTCCTTGCCCAGTACAAAGCTCAGTGCAGGGCTCCATCTCATGACCCTGAGATCATGACCTGAGCTGAAACCAAGAGTTGTATGCTTGAGCCACCCAGGTGCCCCTGTATCAGTCCATTTAAACATTTGGTGTTCACATTACCCAAATTTATCTACTGGAGATCTCTTTGAATTTGACACCCTGCTTCTTTTCATGACCTGAGGAGTCTTTGTTAGCTCCTTGCTTTCTGGGATAATGAGATGTCCGGATTCATCTTGGTTCATTTCCAATCCCATTTCTGCAGAGAACTGAGGTTCCACTTATGTACAAGAGATGATATTTAACAACAACAGGCTTGGCACAAGGAGTGCTCACAGCTACCAGGTTGGCCATTTTTCTAGGTCTTTCAGTGAAATAGGAAACTAATTTTTTTCAAAAGATAGCTTACATTGTAATTTCATAGTGACATCTTTAATTCAAATTCAGCACTGTAGAGTTTTTAGTCAGTTTCATCAACCCCACACCCACAACCACACTTCTGGTACCAACCTAATTTGCTCTCCCCTGGGACACTCAAACTGTCTGAGTGATAATACCAAGCTGCCACCAATAAAACGATTACTGAAAACAGTTTAAGATTTCTGTTTTTGTGTTTCTAAGGGCATATCACACCAGGAGATTACTGTGTTTTCAAATGACTTGAAATAACTCATCTCTATTAATACTGCCTTTTAAGAATTTTGAAAGAATGTGGTTGGAGGTCTCAAAATAACAAGGGAGGCCTCAGAGTATGATTTCCCAAGGCCCTCAGTCTGGGAAACAGCCACTGTTTTTCTTTTTCTTGACAATCCCTTATGTATTATGCAGATTGGAACAGATAGGTTAAGGGCTGGGACGTGGATACAGAAGGTGAACTCCCTTCCTTAGGCCAGTGTGTGAGTTTCCTGTGGCAAGAGGCTGGTTGTACCACGGTCCTCAAATGTGGATGATGAGTGGCAATGTCTGGTTCCCAGGCCCCAGCCACTTGACTAAGACAGGGATTCAGCTCTGCCTGTGGTCGGAGAAGGAGGGAGGTGGCACAGGCCTGGGACAAGAGAAGGGACAGTCTAGAGCCCCAGACTGTCCCACACTGTGAGGCCTCTGTTGGCCTGGCCTTGGGGACTGTCCTGTCTCCATCACATCAATGGCTGGTAAGATGTGAGGAAGAGAGTGTCCTGAGGATAGAAAAGACAGGCCACAGAGGAGATGTGAGGCCAGACTGACTGCCAGCCTATCCTGGGGGTGGGGTGTTAGCACCCCCAAAAAACAGATCCATCAACCTCCTCAAGTGTGGAATAGGATGAGAATGAGAACAGCAGTGACCATAGTGGAAGTAATGACCAATGATAGAAACACACAAGCCATGGGTTTCAATTTGTCAACACGATGTTTTTATTCATTTGTAACATAGGATTGAAGATAAATCAGAGTGCTTGACATGCAAAGCAGCTCCAAGGAAGTCTCTTTAACCACAACTTTGTTCCCAGTGGAACACCAACACTTACATCCTCTTGGAGTGAAAACAGGACTTCAGCTGGAGCCCATGCCTGTCAGTGGACCAATCAGGGTGAGGTCAGGGGAGAGGAGGGACATGCAGGCAGAAGGTGACTTGGGAATGGATTTGTCAGGAGACAGTGAACATTAGAATGGCTTTTCCTCAGGAACTAGAAACCAAATCTGGCTTCTTTCTACAAGGGCGATGGCCCCCAAGATGTGATTTGGAACTTAACAATGAAGCACAGGACGTAGCTGGGGAAACCTGGATCAGTAGGAGTCACAGCCTCAGACCTTGCACTGGCAGCAGATGGGGGCACAACAGCTGGACTGGGAGCAGCAGGGTTTGCAGCAGCTGGACTGGGAGCAGCAAGGCTTACAGCAGCTGGACTCACAGCAGCAGGGTTTGCAGCAGCAGGACTGGGAGCAGCAGGGTTTGCAGCAGCAGGACTCACAGCAGCAGGGTTTGCAGCAGCAGGACTGGGAGCAGCAGGGTTTGCAGCAGCAAGACTGGGAGCAGCAAGGCTTACAGCAGCAGGACTCACAGCAGCAAGGCTTACAGCAGCAGGACTCACAGCAGCAGGGTTTGCAGCAGCAAGACTGGGAGCAGCAGGGTTTGCAGCAGCAGGACTGGGAGCAGCAGGGTTTGCAGCAGCAGGACTGGGAGCAGCAGGGTTTGCAGCAGCTGGACTGGCAGCAGGATGACCCACAGCCTCCCTTGGAGCCCCCACAGGACCCACAGCCCCCCTTGGAGCCCCCACAGGACCCACAGCCCCCCTTGGAGCCCCCACAGGACCCACAGCCCCCCTTGGAGCCCCCGCAGGACCCACAGCTAGAGCAGGGACAGGCCGGCACACAGCAGCACACGGGCTTGCAGCAGCAGACAGGCACACCGCAGCTGGAGCCACAGCCCCCAGAGCAGCCACAGCAGGTCATGGTTCTGGTGGGTGGAGGGTGGAGCAGGTCAGAGGAGCAGGTGCAAGGGGAGGGGTTCAGGTGTGGAGCCTCCTGGGCCAGGGGCCCTTATATACCTGCCTGGTGTCAGGTGAGATGCTGGGCACACAGTCATTTCCTGGTTCCTGTTTGTGCCCAGGGAAATCACATCTGCTTGTTTGTCTTCAATCTTACAATAACCTCAGCGCTCTCACAGTTCTGTGCTTCTATAGCCCATGATTTCCTCTCACGTGTTCCCTGATAAACAAGAAAGCTTCTGTGTCTGTTGAAGGCGATGGGAGCAGGGTCCTTGGCTTTGAGGCTGTGTTCATCTTTGCTACCTGTGTTAGTTTTCTGTGGCTCCCAGAACAGATGGCCACAAAGGCAGTAGACGTTGATTGTCCCCCCGTTCTGCTAGAAGTCCACGGTGGAGTCAGCAGGGCCGTGCCCTCCCTGACGGCTCTGGGGGAGGATCCCTCTTGCCTCCTCCAGCTCCTGGGACCGCCAGCATTCTTGATGCTCCCGGCCTCCAGCTGGTGCCCAACTCCGATTTCATGTGGCCTTTCTCCCTGTGTGCACCTCACCTCCTCCTCTTTTCTCTTACAAGGACACCAGCCATTGAATTGGGACCTACCTCAAATTGACTCCACCTGCAAAGACCTGATTTCCAAATAAGGTTGTATTCAGCAGTTCCAGGAAGACACTGTTCAACCCACTGCACTGCCTCATCATGTTCCTGATGTGATTCCTGATGCTGCCCTGGCTGTGAAAGCCCAGAAAGTGTCCTAGAAGGCAAGGGGGGGATGGAGTCCAGGGAAATACTCTGGACCAGTCAGTCCCATCATGCCTGTCACCTCTGGGAAGAACAGGACTCAAGGTCAGGACAGGATTCAGCACCAGGATAGGACTCAGGATTAGAATAGGACTTAGGATCAGGATAGGACTCAGGGTCAGGACAGTCCAGGATTAGAATAGGGTTCCCGATCAGGACAGGACTCAGGTAATGAGCTGGGATTCCCCTTCTAGGCTTCTAGGATCCTGAGGTATCTTCACTCAGTTGGGCAAATTTTTTAGGGGAGGCTCCTAAAATGTTCCAGCTGAACCATAAACACAGCAGTGGACTCTGCCCTTTGTGATGAGAAACTTCTCAATAAACAGCTTTATTAAATAGCATGCATCCCTGAAATAGGTGTATTTCTGTAATATGCATACAATCTATCTGGTCACATATTGCATATTTGCTAATTTTTTCACATTTTTGAGGCTGAAACACAAATATGTTTTAATATGCTTTTCCGTGATCCATGTTGGAGACCATACTTGTAGACCCATGCTTATGATTCATATACCCCTCTTTGAAATTCAAGTGAGAAACTCCTTAGACAAGTCTATATATATGTGCATTTATAAGCATAGAATTTTGCATAAAATTTGCAAGAATTCATAAGGTCCTGATGCCCACCCGTGGTCTGTAGCTCCAGATTAGACACCCATTGATTTGTAACATAGGATTTAAGATAAATAAAAAAAAAAAGGATTTAAGATAAATCAGAGTGTTTGACATGCAAAGCAGAGGAGAAGGAGGAGAGGCTCCAAAAGAGAGGAGGCTCCATTAGGAGAGGAGGCTCCAAGGGAGAGGAGGCATTTCCCCCAGATAATTACTGTGGGCTTCCCATGAAGCTTGCAGATTGATCACATGGGTTTTTGTGCCTCTCTCACAATAAGAGGAAAGCAAAGGTGCTGGGGCAATATTGTGTCAGTTGGTGAAGTGCTAAGTGACTTAACAGAGCAAGGAAAGGTAGTCTGAAGCCCTAGGGCAGGGCTGCAGATGAAAATACCAACAACATAGTGATTCACTTGGAATGAACTGATGGTGTGTGATTTGGAGGAGAGATCATAAAAGGCATGTAGTCTCTCTCTCGTCACTACCCTTGCTGGTGGGGGGAGTCAGATGCCATGTCACAGCCTACAGAGAGTCCCATATGGTGAAGAACTGAGGCCAACAGCAGTTTTTTGTTTTTGTTTTTGTTTTTATTTTTTTTTTTTTTTTGCCATCTTGGAAATGTCTCCTTCAACCCCACTCAAGCCTTCAGATGATGCAGCCCTAGCCAATGCCTTGCTGAGAAGGTCAGAGGAGATCCAGAGCCAGGGCCACCCAGGAAAATGTAGAGCTTGACAGAAAAGAATGAAAACAGGGCAAGCATTCAAATTGAGGTGCTAGAAAAAGCACAGAATGAAACCAAAATAAGAAAAAAGTAGAACAAATATGACAGATAAGTAACAGTCAACTCTGCATCTCTGAAAAAATTAATAAGACAAATATCCATAAAACTGAGCCACAGAAGAGGAAGTAAAATGCAGATGAAATATAACTGGGCAAGATTAAATAATCCACAAGTAACAGATTTTACAAAAAGGAATTTGGGGAGCAAATTTGCTGGTAAGTTGAAATCTAAAGGAAATGGGTACATTTCTGAAAAAAAAAAAGAAAGAAAGAAAACCCATAACATGGCAAACTTCACATGAAAAGATATTGAAAACTTGAACAGATCGATAACCATCAAAGACAGTGAAATTATTACCAGAAATTTAAGCCCCATAGACCCCAGACCCAGACAGCTTTATGGACGAGTTCTAATAGACCTTCCACCCCTCTTCAAATGTTGGGAATAAAATGGAAGGGAAGGGATGCGTGGGTGGCTCAGCGGTTTGGTGCCACCTTTGGCCCAGGGCGTGATCCTGGAGACCCGGGATGGAGTCCCACGTTGGGCTCCCTGCATAGAGCCTGCTTCTCCCTCTGCCTGTGTCTGTGCCTCTCTGTCTCTCTCTCATGAATAAATAAATAAATAAAATCTTAAAAAAAAAATGGAAGGGAAGCTGAGCAAGTTCTCTCATGAATTTATTATAACTTTCATTTCAAAAATCAGGCAAGCACTGTAAAACAATAGAAAAATTGTACATCCACACAATTTCTAAATCCAATATTAGAACAATCAGGTAGATTATTGAAAATAGCCAGTCATAGTCAAGGAGGTTTTATTCTAGGAAGACTAGGGTGGCTCACCATCAGAAAATATATCCTCATAACTCATTGCTACGGGGCTCAGAGGAGAAAAGAATTTACGCGATCATCTCAGCAGGTGTAACAAAAGGGCCAATGAACAACTTATGACTTTTCTGCTGAAAGTGGAGAGACAGGAGGATCTTCTTTAACAATTTGATAAAACCTGCCTGTCCAAACCCCACACCAAATGCGACACTTAGGAAGTTCAGATACGTTCCTTCTAAATTTATATGTAAGATGAACATATGGCCCATCAAGACTATGGGAAAAAGACAAACCGGTGATTGGCAGATGATGTGGCCGTCTCTAACAGCAACCAGAATGGACAGAGAGAAAATTAGAATAAGAGGGCTGAGCTAGGCTGCAGAACTCCTGCCCAGCGCTCACAGGGCAAGAGTATTCTTCTTCAGGAGGTAGGAAGTGAGGGGACGGGCACAGGAATGACAAAAGTGCCAGCCACCCGGGAGTGCTCCCGATCCAGACCTGCCCTTCCCCGTGTAAACCCTTCCGTGACAACAACGACATAGCAATGGAAAAGAGAGTCTCGTTCTCTCCAAAGTGATCTGGGAAGCCTCTACAATCCCAACAATCTCAGGATGTTACAGGAAAATCATTGCTATTTCTTGAATTATGTGGAAGAAGCAGGTCTCATGGATCGCGAGGAAGGGAGAGTCCGCTCACTGCCTCCACGAAATGGCAAGGCAGGGCAGAGGTGGGCAGGCCAAGGGACAGGGCATGGCCGGCACCCGGCCCCCGATAGAGAGCATCCTGACTGGGTGATGACAGTTGTAGGTCACACACGCGACCTCTCCTGTGTGTCAGGAGACGCTCTCAGGGCTTGCTATATGGTGCCGCCGTTAACCCCACCAACAGACCTCTGACATGGGGCCTGGCACTGATTTCCTTTCCAGGGGACTAGACCCAGGTGCCCCCTCAGCCTGCACACTTAGGACATGGCCAGGTCGCCACGTAGGACGATGCTTACAGTGGCCATGTCGTGGGCAGGCCAGTTGGGAGCCCTGATGGTGTCCAAAACCGAGAGAATAAGCAGAATGAGGCATGTGCTGATGCTGGCAAACCGCATATCAGAGAAAACACGTGTTGGATTTATGGTAAAGAAATGTGGCTTAATTTAAAAAATGCAATACTCAGCAAGAGAAGGCACTGACGTAGATCTGTCGCTGGCATCCACGTCAGTTGAAAAATAAGAATGTAAAAACTACACCATATATTTTTTCAGGATGTGCCACATGCATGGTGCATGAGAGGGTTTTTTTTTTTTAGGGGATGGAGGGGATGTGGGAAAACCAAGAGGGGCTTCAGCCCCACCTCGTCAGAGGGGCAGGATGGTAGCAAACAACCGGAAAGTTAAACGAGAAACAGTTTTCAAAGGAACTTGTGATCCCAGTTGACTCTAATCCCCTTGCTCACTCGGAAGATAGAAGAAGAATCAGAGCAGGGGAGGAAGATCCTGTAGTTCATAATTCTACACTCGAGGATTACAGTTAAATTCTCTGTGGCGGCCGTGACTTGTATAATTGCTCCATGTTAATCCTCATCTTGTGGGACTCGGCGCTCACCCCCAGTGCTTATCCCTGCCGCCCTTCATTCCCTGGAGCCGATCCCAGGGGGATGGTTTCCAGTACCGTTTGATCAAGGCGCCCGGGGGTGCCATGGGCTCAGACATGTTTGGGACTGCCTGCCTGTTCTCTTTTGCTTACATGATGTTTTGTAGAGATACACACACCATCCTAGGGTCATGCTTCCTTTTTATCAGGCGTTTGGAGATATTGCTCCAATATGTTTGGGCTTGGGATGTTATGGCAGGACATCTGGAAACAGCCAGACGTCGGCACCCGCCCCACCACATGCCACAGAGGGCTGGGAATTCGCTGTTGGGGCAACATTTTGGGTGGGGGGTTAATCTTTGGAATTCTGTAACTTAATAATCATATGTCTTACTCTGGAGCATTCTGTGTCCATTTTTTTTTCCCAGAACATGTCACTCCTTTCCCCCCCCCAAAGATTTATTTATTTACCTTAGAGAGAGAGAGTGGGGAGGGGGATGCAGAGAGAATCCCAAGCACACTCCCTGCTGAGCATGGAGCCCCCGAGGGGCTCGATCTCACGACCCTGAGATCATGACCCGAGACGAAATAGAGAGTCTGACGCTCAATCGACCGAGTCACTCAGGCGCCCCAACACGTCACTCTTTCAGATTAAACTTTCAGATCTTCCTCAGGCCATGGAGGGTTTCCTGTATTTTTAGCCTAGTTCAGCTCCACTGACCGAGGTCTTCACCACTTTTCAGGGGGCTAGGTCACCCAGCCCCCCGTGTCCGTCAGCCGCTCTCCCTGTGTTTCCACCCACACTGGGAACTTCCCACACCTTCCTTTTGTGCTTGCTCTTCCGTTTCTGGCCACCCCTGGGCTGCTGCGGGCTCTCTGCTTCATTTATCCCTTCTGCCATCCTCTCTGGTGCTCAGCCACAGGCCTCTGCTCTGCCTTATTTTTTAAAAATTTTATTTATTTAAAATTTTTAATTTAAATTCCATGTACTTAAACTATAGTGTATTAATAGTTTCAGAGGTAAAATTCAGACATTCATCAGATGCACAGGACACCTAGTGCTCATCCCATCACGTGCCTCCTTCATACCTGTCACCCAGTTACCCTGTTCCCCTACCCAGCTCCCCTCCATTCCCTGTTTGTTTCCTGTGGTTAAGAGTCTTTTTATGGTTTGTCTCCCTCTCTGATTTGTCTTATTTTATGTTTCCCTCCCTTCCCCTATGCTCCTCTGTTTTGTTTCTTAAATTCCACATGAGTGAAATCATACAGTCTTTGTCTTTCTCTGATTGACTTATTTTGCTCAGCATAATACCCTCCAGTTCCATCCACGTCAACATGTCTCCCAAAGCAAGAGAAACAAAAGCAAAAATGAACTATCGGGACGTCATCAAGATAAAAAGCTTTTGCACAGCAAAGGAAACAGACAACAAAACTAAAAGGCAGCCTACAGAATGGGAGAAGGTATCTGCAAACTTCTTATCAGATAAAAGGTTCTATAAAGAACTTATCAATCTTAACACCCAAAACACAAAAAATACAGTTCAGAAGTGAGCAGAAGACATGAACACACATTTCTCCAAAGAAGACCTACACATGGCCAACAGACACATGAAAAAATGCTCCACATCACTCGGCATCAGGGAAATACAAATCAAAACCACAGTGAGATCCCACCTCACAGCAGTCAGAATGGCTAAAATGAACAAGTCAGGAAACAACAGATGCTGGCGAGGTTGCAGAGAAAGGGGAACCCCCTGACTCCGGTGGGAATGCAAGCTGGTGCAGCCACTGTGCAAAACTGTATGGAGGGTCCTCAAAAAGTTAAAAATAGAGCCACCCTATGACCCAGCAATTGGTATTCACTCCAAATGATCCACTCTTACTTTTAAAACGTATTCTATAGTTTTACGTGTCCCTTGTGAGCCCTATTAAAATTATTATGCATATTTTAATTTGCTACACAGCTCAACCATTTGTAGGAAATGCACTGCTGTTTCCTAGATTGTGTTGAGACTGATTCATCTTTTGTTTACTCCCTCCCTCTTCTCTCTGTGGCCCTTGGCAAAGTCACCAGGACATCCCTCTACCTTCCTCAAGTTGGGGCAGTCCTGTCTACCTGGACCCTCCGCTTCCGTGGAAACAAAAGGGGAAGTTTCTTGTTTTCTGTGGCCTGGGTTGGAGGAGGATGGGGCCCATATTCTGTGCCCCCGCCCCCCCCAGCCGCCAGGCAGCAGGGACGCTGGGGAGAGAGCTCGGTTAGAATCCCTGGGCTCTGCTGTCACTCTGGGGTCCTGGGATGTCCCCACCTGGCGCTCACTGCACCTGGTGGGCAGTGTAAGCTTTATCGGTGGAAGGCCCCAGCTTCAGACCCAGCCCCCACTGGAAGGCTGTGCTGAGAGGGTGTCCTGGCTGCACAGATAGAGCTGCTGTTTATTTAAACATTTCCTAGGGGCACCTGGTTGGCTCAGTCGGCTAAGCCTCTGACTCTTGGTTTTGGCTCAGGTCATGATCTCAGGATCCTGGGATAGAGCTCCCTCCTCCTCTCCCTCTCCTTCTGTCCCCCACCCCCACCCCACTCTCACACTCTGTCTCTCTCTATAAGATAAATAAATAAATCTTAAATAAATAAATACATCCTAACCTGAACTCCCACATAAACACCTGTGGAAAACAAAGTACATTGTTTGAGGGCTAGAAATTCCTTTCCTTGAGATATAAATAAGTTCTTAAAGCAATAGCGAATTCAAACAAAATGTAATTTACAGTAAAATAATTTAAAAAATCACCCTCACTAAAAAGAAATGAAAGTAATCAATGAAATTGTGAGCACTCTGATGTCCTGAAGAAGCCAAAAGGCAAAATTAGCCAGGGCTTACCGGTATTTTTTTTTTAATTTTTAAATTAAAAAAATATTTTTTAAAGATTTTATTTATTTATTTATTAATGAGAGACCGAGAGGCAGAGGGAGAAGTAGGCTCCATGCAGGAGCCCAACATAGGACTGGATCCAGGGTCTCCAGGATCACACCCTGGGCCGAAGGCGGCACCAAACTGCTGAGTCACCCAGACTGCCCGGCTCAGCTCATCGGTATGTTAAGATGGGATAAGGCTATAAAGTCTTCTCTTCAATTGAGCCTCTTTTGTGACATCGATAAAAGTTCGGCAAAAATAACTGAAAACCATAGTTACACAGAGATTATAATTTAAAAGGAAATAGAGCTATCTGGGGAACAGTTAAGATAGGGAGAAGTTAATCAAAAGGTTACCATTATGTGATGGGATTACTGGTTATTTTAACGTCTTTCCTTATATTTTGAGTTTCTCTTTTTGCACCACCATCTTGTATTTTAAGAGTTGGAAGTGATGTAAAACAATAAGTGCTATTAATTGTATTTGAGAGACTGGCAGATTCAGTGGAAGGTGTTTTTGTTCGGGGAAGGTGATCTTCTAAAAAGCCATCCTCTATGTGTCACCTGGGGAAAGCAGAGAAGGCAGGTGATCAGGATAATTGCAGAGTCCAGATGCGATGGGGAGGTGGCCAGTGAGAACCTGAAGTCCAGCAAACAAATAAGCACATCCCAGGAAGTAGTGTAAACAGCCACAGTGAAGTCAGCAGGTGCTCAGAGACACCCCAGGCAGGTATATAAGGGCCCCCAGTCCAGGAGGCTCCACACCTGAACACCTCCCCTCTGCACCTGCTCCTCTGACCTGCTCCACCCTCCACCCACCAGAACCATGACCTGCTGTGGCTGCTCTGGGGGCTGTGGCTCCAGCTGCTGTGTGCCTGTCTGCTGCTGCAAGCCCGTGTGCTGCTGTGTGCCGGCCTGTCCCTGCTCTAGCTGTGGGTCCTGCGGGGGCTCCAAGGGGGGCTGTGGGTCCTGCGGTGGCTCCAAAGGGGGCTGTGGGTCCTGTGGGGGCTCTAAGGGAGGCTGTGGGTCCTGTGGGGGCTCTAAGGGAGGCTGTGGGTCCTGTGGGGGCTCCCAGTCCTGCTGCTGCAAGCCCGTGTGCTGCTGTGTGCCGGCCTGTCCCTGCTCCAGCTGTGGATCCTGCGGGGGCTCCAAGGGGGGCTGTGGTTCATCCTGCTGCCAGTCCAGCTGCTGCAAACCCTGCTGCTCCCAGTCCTGCTGCTGCAAACCCTGCTGCTGTGAGTCCTGCTGCTGCAAACCCTGCTGTTCCCAGTCCTGCTGCTGCAAACCCTGCTGCTCCCAGTCCAGCTGCTGTAAGCCTTGTTGCTGTGAGTCCTGCTGCTGCAAACCCTGCTGCTCCCAGTCCAGCTGCTGCAAACCCTGCTGCTCCCAGTCCAGCTGCTGTAAGCCCTGTTGCTGTGAGTCCAGCTGCTGCAAACCCTGCTGCTCCCAGTCCAGCTGCTGCAAACCCTGCTGCTCCCAGTCCAGCTGCTGTAAGCCCTGCTGCCCTGAGGCTAGCTGCTGTGTCCCCATTTGCTGTCAGCGCAAGATCTGAGGCTCTGGCCACCAACCTTCAGTGTCCTGTGCTGATGCAGGGCCCAGGCTGCCCAGCCCACTGCCCTGGGGCTGTTTGACTTCACCTCCCCACGTCTTCACTCCCTGACTTCCTCATCTGCACACCCCAGTTTAGGTAACATATTATCGAGATGGGTGGAACCCTGGGACCACCTCCTGGTTCATCGCCTACCTCTTCTCCTGGACCTTCCCTCTCTGCCCCTCACCTGACTGAAGACCCCAACTGGCCCCCAGAGACCCATGAGGCAGCCTGGACACCTGGGACCGTGAGAGCTGCCCCTCCTTTCAGGATCTGCAAGGACCCTCTGGCTCCTTGTATATCAAAACCTAATCCCCAGTCTTCCAAATAAACAGTTGACAAGCACAAAGCTCAGTCTTGTCCTTCCTTTCTGTAACTCCCCATAGCATCATTTCTGTGGCTCCATCCCGGGGCCTGTTCCAGGCCTTTCTCCTCTGACCTCTTTTGTACACTAAGCTGACATTTACGGTTTTTCTGCCCTCTGCCCTCATGGCGTTAGGCTTTGAGGGTCAAGTACATGTTGGCGTCCTGAGCTCCATGACCTCAGAATGTGACCTGATTCGGAAGTAAGATTGTAGCAGAGTGGGGTGGGCCCTGATCCGCTGTGACCGGATCCTCTGTACCAGGAGAAACCCACACAGATGCGGAGGCAGGGAGCATGCTGTAAGGACAGAACAGAGGTGGGGTGAGGCTGGTGTCATCAGAGGCTGTTGGGCCGCAGGGACAGACCCTCCCTCGTAGCCTCAGAGAATCAGCCCTGCAGCACCTCATCGCCTGCTCCCGGCCTCCAGACTGCCCCATGAGCATGTGGTCTACACCCCTGGTGGCACTGTGTTTCAGCAGCTCCAGGAAAAGGCGGCATCAGGAGCCTGGAGGGGTTTAACGTGGAAACTGGGTGCTTACAAGGTTGATGGCCGTTCCAGAGGCCACACCCCCAGAAGGACTCCTCGAAGTCCCAGTGCTGGCCCTAGGGGACTTCTTTCTCTAGGACTGACCCAGAGTCCTGATGCCCCCATGACCATGGCCCAGGCATCAGAGCCATCGGAGATGCTGATCTATGGGTCACACCCCCCTGCGATGCCCACTGTCCATGTGTCTCCGTAGCAATATTCGATCAATATTTGATCTCATGACCTTGGCCTGCTGTACACAGGAGTGTCAGTGCCCCACCTTTGCTTCTGGGGTGCAGGTGGGGAGCCCCATCGGGTGTAGGACGGAGGACCGCTGGCAACGAGGAGCCAGCAGGGGGCGCTGCAGGCCAGGAGATGGTGGTGGAGGTTCCCGGTGGAGGAGGGCAGCTGGGCTGAGTTCCAGCCCTGGACGCTGGTGACAGCCCTGGCATGGCAGTCTCAAAAGGCCGAGCGGCTGTCAGTGGTTCTGAAGTAAGAATAAAAAAAAAAAAAAAAAAAAATGAAGTAAGAATAAGGCTTGGTCTTTGTAGAAATATGTGAACTGACCATTATTTCCACTTTTCGGGTTGTTGATAGAGCCCAAACAGAGGGACCCCAGGAGAGTCACAGGAGGGAGTGAGGAAGTGAGTGGGCAGAGAGAGCTATGGGCAATGCAGGGGGGGGGTCCCGGGGGGGGTGAGCGGTCCCCCCCGCCCCGTCCCTGCAGCAGCCTCTGTGAGGTCGGGGTAGGGTGTGAAGGGACAGAGGACCCGCAGACCGCCCCCCCCCACTCCCCCAAGGCCCAGGCACCAGGAGGCTGTAGGGGCCTGCGCCTGCGGCTGAAACAATGTTTCTGTTTCTGGTAAACAATGTTACTTTTACCTGAAGTGCTTTTAGTTTGTTACTGGATTGAGACCTGCACTCTGGTTCACTGCCCCAGTGCACTCATGGGGGAGGGGAAAGAGGCCAGCACTCCCCCCCCCACCGTCCCCCCTTCCCTGTCTCCTGCAGCCCAGGCCACTCACACCACACGGACAGTCCTTGGCATCCCCCAGCCTTGGGCTCCTCATTGCCAAAGCTGGTCAATGCCAGTTACCCCCAGGATCCTCTAGTGGTGGGACAAGTCGGAGGGTTCCCCGTGGAGCATCTCAGTGCTCCAGATAGAACCTGCTGTAGGATTGGGCTTGGCCTGGGAGGTTGGGGAGGGTCTGCGGTCCGGGGCTGCACACTAGATCGATGCTCCCAGAAAGCAGTCTGCTCAGCGTTGAGCGTCTCTGTCTCTTCTGAGAGGAGGTCAGTTGCTCATCCCAGCCCGGGGGAGGGAGTGGGGGGTGCTGGCTATTTTGTGGGTAGCCCAGTGACCTTGGTTTGTCTGTGCTTAGGAGATTTAGGAAGGTGCCTCCTTCTGTCTCATTTCATTGTGGTCTCAGAGTGACCTTCTCTGCAGTGGCCCTGCTGGGGACAGGAGCTTCCACCTTCCCTCCCTCCCCTTCCCCCTTCCTTCTCTCACTATTTCTAGTGCTCACACCCTCCCCCAGGGTGAGTAGATATCCCCAGGCACAGCCTTCCTGATATTGCCCCGGCCCCCGCAGGGCCCTTCACCTTCATGGACAAGCAGTGACTGCTTTGAGTCCGCATCCTGGGTCCCACAGACACCTCCATCCCCTCATCTCCTTGTCCCCTTCATCCCCTCTTCCCACAAGAGGATGAGGGGAGACAGGGGCTGGAACACTCCTGAGAGCCCTGCTGCAGGGCTGCCCTCAAGTCCGGGTCAGGTCATTGGGAGCTCCGGGACCCACCCCTTCACCTGAGGCTTCAAAGCTCTTGAAACTTCTCTTCAAAGAGTTTTGTTCAACTTCCTTTCCCACTTCCGTTTCTCTTGTTCTGGTATTTATCCACTCACTGCCCCAGGGCCTTTGCAATGATGCCACGTGCCATGCCCAGGCCTTAGCCCCCAGCTGGGGGAATGGCCCTCCTTTTGCCTGAGATTATCAGGTTCAGATGGGTCCCCAGTCCCTAGAGCTCTTCCCTCTCTACTGCCTGAAGCTGAAATGCAGATCATGGGGTGGGGTTGGGGGGAAGTTCTGAGGTCAGGCACTGCCCAGCACCTGGGGAATGTGAGTGCAGGTTAGAGCAGCTGGGGGTGGGGCCCCCACTTCCCGAAGGGGTGGAGGGAGGTGCTGCTGTCCTGGGCCTCTGGTCACTCAGCAGTGACCTCCAGAGGGGTGCGAAGGGGACACTTGTGCTGTAGAGCTAGGAGATGACAGGTGCTCTGATCCCCTCTGTCCCACTTACCAAGAGCGTGCCCACTGGGCCCCTCCCTGTCCCCTGCACATGCTGGCAGGGCCACCTGACCACCTGAGGCCGGACCTGGGGGTGGAGAGGGAGGCGCCGGCAACCCAGTACCCTCCCTGGGGGGCACCGCTGGAGAAGGCCAGCGGGCTTGCGGATGGAGCCCATCCCAGGTGTTCCTCCTCCAGGTCCTCCAGACCCCCAGGCCGACAACAGAGGCTCCCTAAGGTCCGGACCTACTGGCGGGGGCACAGCCTTTCCCAGGTGTGGGGCCTCATCCACCACTCTGTTCCTCTCCCTGTACCCTGGGTCTCCTCAATGGCGCCACCTGCTTAGCAGAGGGCCAAGCCACCAGGTGGCAAGTTCGCCTCCGGCGGGAGAACTCTGGGAAAGGCTGGGTGGGTGGGAAAGAGGCATGCCCCTCCCTGCAATCAGCAGCCATCCCCTCCCTCTGAAACCCCAGGGCACTGCTCCCTGTGTCCCACCCACCCCCATCCCCCAACACACACACCAAAATCAGGAAGGTGGAGCTCACCCACCCACAGGACAGGGAGTTAGGCTGGATGTGCTAGAGCCAAGGCCTGGCTGGGCAGGCTTGGCTGCTCCAGGGACCCCCACGGGATGGCTGGCTGTCCATATCCCTCTGCTTGTGCCACCCGATGCCCAAAGGAGGGATGACCTGGATTGCCACCAAGGAGACACCTGGAGGATGCGAGTCAGAGGGACGCTGCCACCTCTCCTGCCCCACTCCAGGACTTCTGCTGGGCTGGAGAAGTGCTGGGGTTGCTGGACTCTGGGATCCTGACTCGGTGGTCCCACTGATGCCTGAGGCTTCTGCTCACCCAGTGGCTGTCACGACTGCCCACTGAGCCACATGAGACTACAGGGGTTCACCCCTGAGAGGTCTGGTGGCAGGTCTGAGGACACCAAGAAGGGCTTCCTCCAGTCTGGGGGACTGTATGGGGTCAAGTCCACCATCGGCATCTGGTAAGCCCCTGGGGCCTCCCTGAGGTCACCAGCCATCCAACCTGTAGAAAGGGAGGGGGTAAATCCTCACAACTAAGACCCAGGTCCTGGGGTTCCCTCTTTCAAAAGAAACACTTGGGATCCTTAGTCCCATCAGGAGTGGCAGCCCCCAACTGGGGGACACCCAGACAGGCCACCCAGAGCCCCTGTGGGTAGCTGTCCAGCCCCACATCTGGAAGGTCAAGTGCACCAGTCCTTGCAGAAGGCTATCTTCACCGACCTCAGAGGGTCCACTAGTCCCAGGGCCCCCTTCCTCATCACAGGCTGCTTGAGCACCAGCCAATATCCTGGATTTCAGAAAGGAACCCCTTCCTCAGTGAGCTGCATCTCAGGGACCCAAATAATTGATGACAGGATCTCAGATGAAGATGCAAAGGTAGAGTCAGAAAACAGCCATGTCCTGAGCCCAAGGAGAAGATGGACCTACAGTCATCAACAAGCTGAAAGGAATCAGGTGAATTGAAAGGGACAGGTGACCCCTGAGCCATTCATTGGTCTCCAACTTAAGTTAGGACCATGTGACATTGAGCCCTTGTCCAAGTGATGGAGCAGGGAGGGCACAGCCCCCCAAAGAGATAAACCCGACTCTGCTATGAGTCTCCTCCAACCCTATGGACAGTATGCAGAAATCCAGGACAGGAGAGAAAGTGGTCAGCGGCACCTGAAGGTACAATCAGTCAGATTCAGAGAGTAGGGGACCTTATGGGGGAAATAGCCCTGTCCACTTCGACAAGTGATGAGCATTACAAAAGACAAAGAGGTGGCAGTGGTGGTTTAGGCCAGAAAATGTGTCCAGAACTGTTGGGATCATCGTAGCACACATCACTTTGGACTGAGCTGTGGGATTTGAATCCCTGGGGGCAAGCCAACATCATCGAAGCATGTTCACTGCATTGGGTGGCCTAATGATGTTGGGATTGTGTTCTGAGAGGTGGTCCCTGCTAGACATGCGCACAGGTATTTGTGGGAGAAGCAGAATGACGTTTGCTTTATAAAATCACAGCAAAGATGTGCACAGGAGAGGGAGAGCGAGCAAATCAGGAAAACAGAGGTGGGAGTGACGGTGTGGCCTGCCTGGGGGCCAGGATTGTGTTCATTGTAAGTTGTTTTGGTTTGAAAAACCATATGGAAATCCTAAGCT